TGTGCATGTGTGAACATATGCACAGAGATGTTCACATAGTTCAATCGCAAGACAGTGAGAAGTGAGTAAAAAAGAAAAGATCATGAAGATAGGTGGGTGCATGGATGGATGGACAGATGGAGTAATCTGGTGCACTGACTCATTCGGGGTCTGCCCCCCGTCCTCTATAAACACAGGAAGTCCCCTTCGCTCTCATTGTTTTCTCTGTCCTGACACCATTTACAACTATTTACAAGTTCAGTGGATTAGTCATACTGTAGCCCCTGTGCTTTTGTCGAGCCAGAGAAGAAACCTAATCCATGCCAGTGTTGAGATGATTAGGAGAGTGTTTATCAAACTGACCTGCGTTTGGTTAGTTGGAACAGTTTCTGATGGGCTTGTTGTAAACTGTGTAATGACATGTCTGTAATGGTCCCCAAATGACACCTCTGGAGGTTTTGGAACATTTTCAACAGACATTTAGCACATTTTCCAAAGCCAAGTTTTAATGAATAATGTCTGACTGGCAGTGAGTGAGAACTGGTTTTGGGAACAACACAAAAAAGTCTTCCATCTTTTTAAGTAGAACCGTTACATGTGGCGACATAGCTTTATTTAAATGCAACAGTTACAATATGCTGGATGCTTAATACATTTTTGGTACTTACACTTAAAAATACGGCAGATACTGGATTTTTTCGTTCACATTTAGGTCATTGTACAGTCTGTACACAGCGTTTGATTTTAGTTAATTGTAGGTATAATCTTTATAAACAGATTGTGAACGTGTACGCAGAATTTTTTGGCAATGAGAAAAGATTTTGGTGTTCTATTTTCTGTTTATAGTCTGTTTGTTGTCTGTTTGCAGTCCGAGTAGTATTGACTAATTACGTTTGAATGGCAGTTAAGCCGGCAGTTAAATTGGCTGAAATGCAGAACCCATTGACTATTGTCTGACGTTTGTCATTATGTTGGTTTTTTAATTCATTTATAGAGGTTAGCCAAAATGCCCGGCGCACGGAAGAGGAAGTCTTGGCTTGGATATTCACTGGCTACCTGAATCAGCCCTTGCCCCCAGAGGCTGGCAGACCATAGCCAATGGGTTCATACTGTGTTACTTCAAAAGTCACAGAGAAGTTGTACCAAACAAGATATGTGAACAATGTTTACCAAGTGAAATTATTGTGTTTGGACTTTTTAATGGATGTTGCATAGGCTTCCTATTGGTACAATTAAACCATTCTTAATGCAGTAGAAGGGAAACAATGCAACATCCCTTGGAAAAATAGTCTGACATTTTGGGGCATACATTTAATTGCTTTCTTGTCAAAAGTTAAATGAGAAAATTGCTAACACTCTCCTGTCTGCCTGTTTAGTATTGACCTGGACCCAAGAGGGGATTGGCTTAGCTGAGCATAAAGACTGAAAGCAATGGGAAACTGACAGCATTGTTCTATTTAAAGTTAAACAGTCCACCTACCAACACACAGTTAAATAGCCTGTAAGTATTTCTCTGAACTCAGCAGCCGGATACAGTGACTTCAAATGTCTCTACCAAGCCCCCAGGAACAGCGCTGAGCTTTTAAGCCAATTTTATATAGTGGCTGATTATGAAATTAGAACATCTCTTCCATCACATGACACCATGAGGGCCAAAAAGCACTTTTTCCATAAACTTACAATGTGAAAGGGACATCTGTAAAACAGTGGACACATTTTTTGAGTGCCAAAACCCCCACAAAATGACTCATTTCCCGTTCAGGATTTGATCCATTCAGTCCGATAACATTTCAAAAGTCTAGAGGAGCCGCATGATTAAATAATTATTATACCCATTCAAGATAGTGGAGGGCTAAACCAGAAGTCTCTTGTGCACTTGCTCCATGGACCCCACAATGTGGAAGATCTGAATAAATTCAAACTGCGTAAATAGTGTTTTTTTTTTTTAGTTTCATGTGCCACTGAACAACATCCATAGGAATGGATGGAGCCCTGCCTCCAACACTGTATCCTGTTCTCTTTATACATCCATGGTCTCCATTGGTTGCCTGGAAATAGCTACAGTGAGTAACTCCCCGTAAATCCACAAAATGTGGATTTTATGTTTTTGTTTGTGTTTAGATTAAGCAATAGACATACAATGTTTAATGAGTGATCTTTAGAAATCCTAGTAGGCAGATTTTCAAACACTAGAAAGAGCCAGGCTAACTCATTCCACCTGTTTCTCATTTTTATGCTAAGCTAAGCTAAGCTAACAGTCTTGTGGCTTTGGCCCAGTACTTCATAGACAGATGTGATCGTGGAATAAATCTTTCCGTCTAATTCTTGCCAAGATCACAAACAAACATATTTGCTGAAATGTCAGACTTCCTTTCGTGTTGTTTCAGATGCTCTAACTGTCACAACTGTGACACTACTGACACATTAATTCAACACCAAGCTCTTTAGCACTGTCTATTTTGTTTTTTAGCAATAGCTCATAAAAGTGAGTACAAATACACAACACAGATAATGGTGTGATGTAAGAGAGCACTTGTAAATCTCTGTGGTCAGTCTTCAGCATGTATACATCTACATGCTCCAATTAAGATTTTGTCATTTGTTCTAAGATGAAATTCACTATAAAAGATTTATTGTGATCAACACAGTAAAAATATTGACACTCACTTAGAATTATAGTAAATCTGGATCCAATCAAAGACCATAACTTCTCTTACGTTCCACATATAATCGATGCCACATTCAGTCCACAGATGACAAGTATTTGCCATCAGTGCTGTCAGTGAAGAACATTTGCTATCATTTCTAGTTAGCAAGAAAGAAAATATTAAGAAATGTGTTGTTGTTTTAGTCCTGTGTGCTTTCCCTAAAAGCCGTGCCTGCACTGTGTAAACACAGCCACTAGTGTGGATCTGCTGAATTGTCCATGGCTGTAATGTGACTTCTAGAAATCTGTTGCAGGGCATTAACAAAGGATAGGAGTCAGTAAACTGTACTGAGAGCACAGAGAGGGGCTTTACTGGGTGGGACACTGCACACTGTGTGTATATGTGTGTGTGTGCGCTGGCACAATGAGTGAGTGAGCACACTGGTGAAAAAGAGAGAAAGAGAGCGATGGGATAAGGAACAACTAAAGAAAAAGTAAAGAACAAGGTGAGAGAAGGAAACAGAAAGAGATCAAATGAGAGAGAGCGGAGGGGCACTGAGGGTAAGGGGAGGTGTGTGTGTGTGTGTGTGTGCACGTGTGTATGCGGTTGGAGGAGCACTGTGTGTTTTATGATGGCACATCCTCCGTGGCAGGCGTTCTGTCGTCCGGGGAGCTTTTGGCGGGAGCCAGGCTGGGATTAAAGGCTATGGGCTGTCCCACAAGTGGAATGCCTGCCGCATGCCCGCCAGGATGTCATGAGGGGGGTTCTGGGTGTGCCAGTGTGTGTGTGTGTGTGTGTGTGTGTGTGTGTGTGTATCAGTCCTCCTGTCCTCACTGACTGGTTGATAATAGCTTGCTTAACTGTATGTTTCTCAGTGCGTAATAGGTCTAAGTGAGTGTGTGTGTGTGTGTGTGTGTGTGTGTGCGTGCGTGTGGGAGTTAAAGGGTGCTAAGGTTTGCAGAGGGCACGCGGTCTATCCGGCTACAGAGATAGAGAGGTGAACAGCAGGTCGATCGAAGGACAAATTAGCCAGCATTAACTTGAGAGAGATGGCGGCCTGGATGAGGATGTGTGTGTAAACATTCACAATCTCTAGCCGTGGATAACTGAGGAACAGAGCCAAGTTTCTCTAAGCTTGAATATATCAGCATATTTCCTAAAGTTTTACAACTTTTCTGACGTGATATCTGTAATTTAAAACATTGTTTTAATCAGCAGATTTTGCAATGCCTCTGTAGAACTGGAGGCGGTGATGCTAGAGTCTTAAGAGGACACAGGAACAGTTGGGAAATGTGCTTTCCTGTCACGAGTATATGACACGTTTTACACCAATCTCACATCTGTACATTAAATATGAAACTGCAACCCTCAAACTCTTGATGAACTGAAGTATAGGGGGAGCGTGTTGAATAATAGCAAAACATCTGTTTACAAACTCTGACACTACTCGCGCAGTGTAATCCAACTCTCATTTATCCAGTCATACGCTGAGTACTTCCAAATCACATGCATTTTTGCTGAAACATTAATATTTAAAACTCTTTCGCATGAATAGTGTCATGCATGGTTGAGTAGCGTGGTTGGCAAAGTGCGTGTGTTTGAACTCTGTTCAATGAAATGCACAAGTGTTCAAACGCACGCACTTGCCCAGCTGCTACGTGTATGCGGAAATGTTTCAAATAGTAATGTTTTAGCAAAAATGCATATGTTAGGAAAGTACTGAGCGTACGACTGGATAAATGAGATTCAGATTGCACTGCATGAGTTGTGTGGGAGATTAGTTTTGCTGTTGTTTAACACTGACATTCTTAATTTCAATTTCAGAATTTCCTCATTTTTTTGATTCTTTGAGGCATGTGAGAAAAGCAATGTTTTCTTCACTTATTCAACATTACACGGGTGAAGTAATCCCTTGAGAAAGTTCACCTAACAGCACCCAAAAAAGTTTTAGCTTGAAGCAGAGAAAAGAACAACTTGACATTTTTTTGTTTGTATATGAAATAAACAAAAGTTGGATGTTAGTGAGTTTTTAAGCTGCTGGTTAGGTAGATTTTTCAAATTTTGTAGAGGCAGGCTAGCTATTTGCCCCGCTTCAAGTCTTTATGCTAAGCTAAGCTAATCACCTGCTGGCACAAGCTTCAATATACACACATGAGGGTGGTATTGATCTTATCATCTTGTTGGCAAGAATGCAGCTATTCTGCAAAATGTCAAAGTAAACTTCCTTTAAGAAAAGATGACCTACTGAGTTAGGAGCAAACAGATGACATGAGTAAATACTTAGTGGACTCATGTGGAGGAGTAAAATGATGTAGTGATGAGAAGAGGAAAGGCAGGACAGAGAGGGAGGAGGAGGAGGCAAAAGGAGAAAGTGCAAAAGAGGAGGAAAGGAAAAGGAGGAGGAGGATGTATCAGTGTCTGAGGGCTGCTGGAGGATTACCGGGGGCTCTCTGAGGTCGGACCACTGACCCCCTAGCGTGTGCAGAACGTAAACACCGAGGAGATGACGCGCCGAAGCAGATAATTAGCTCTCATTCACTGCGGATGCTCTTGGAGGGAGGGCAACAGGGTAATCACAAGCAGGGGTAGTGTGTGAGTGTGTGTACACACAGCTTTCTGTTGCTTTACCTTTCTTTCTTTCTTTCTTTCTTTCTTTCTTTCTTTCTTCAATTCACCTCCCTTCTCTCTGTACCCCCTCCTTTCACCAGCCTCAGGCTAGATCAACAGAGCCGTCGACTCCACACTAAAGTCTCAGCCCCGACCCGACTGACTGGGAGCGCCAACAGGGAGCTTATATGGGGGTCTGTGTTTTCTTTGGTGTGGTAGGGAGTGTGTGTGTGTGTGCGTGTGTGGAGCGGACGAGGATGGGGGAATGGATCAGTAGAGAGATACAGATAGAAAGTGAGAGAGAGAGGGATAGCTGGGGTGACAGAGGGCACATTTCACAGTCTGACTTACAAATCACGTCGACCCAGTTGACTCTCTTCACAAATTACCACCAAGAGCAATGGCTGTGTAGTTATTTTAGTAGGACAAAGATGGTATGTGTGTGTGTCTGTGTGCATGTGCGTGTGTTTGGTGTGCACAAGCAAGCATGTAAGTGCAAATTTGTGCATTTGTCTGAAAGAGAGGGTGTATCTGTATCTGGATATTTGTGTGCATGTGCTGGTTTGCGTGTGTGCTTGTGCTTGTGCTTGTGCTTGTGCGTGTGTGTGTGTGTGTGTGTGTGTGTGTATTGGCAGCTGTGGGGATAAACCAATACTGATCCCCTGGTCGCCGCGTGCCTCCCAGGGGGAGGATGTTGATGTTGAGCTGGCTGTTTCTGCTCCAGTGTCAACTGCTTTTTTGCTGCATCACAAACACACACACACACACACACACACTGTTTGTTCTGTAAGTGTGAGGCCCCAGGGGGCTGGATCTCAGCCTCCTAGCCTGTCTGCGATCTGTCATTTAACACTACAGAGCCCAGGCTAAAAAACAACCAGCCGTAGCCGCCAACCAGCTTAGTAACCACACACATGTAGCACACACATTACACAAAGTGGTCATAAATGTGCCACGGCATTGAGATTTCTAAAGAGACGAGCCCGTCTGAAAGCAGTTTTCACTCTCTTCATTAGAAATGATCACGCTATTCCCTGTTTACTAGGAGCAGGGAAAGCGGTTTTACTGTTTAAAAATCCAAAGAGGTCTCCCGGGAGAACACACAACATACCCATTGCAACATCACACATGTGTGTTCCCCCCACTGTCCTCACTCTAACCACAATGGCAATCCTCTGAGTAAACAGTTGTAGTCCTGAGCGGAAGACCGACTAGCTCTGATTGTACAAGCTGAAGAAGCAAGGTCTGGAATTCATAGAAATCGTGCCATGTGTAACAAATACAATGTTGGCAGTGAGTGTGACGGGTCATCAGCATCTACAACAGACGATGTCTAGAATGTGACCATAAAAAAAAAATCTGTGACTTAAAAATAGTTTTCTTTACCTGGACATTTCCTCCTCTTGACCAGGCACTCTTTGATTTCTGAGATCTCAGGGCAGGGATTGCCAAAGGGTGATGGGTACTGGAGGACCTGCCGTGTGCGGGTCTCCTGCCCCCGCTTGAACCCACAGGTTCTACCGGACCTGGAGCAGGGGCTCCACTCGCTCCACTCACCCACCTCGCAGTGCACTGTTGGAGGGAAAATTGAGAAAATGAAGTGAGGATGAGAAAGTGTTCAGCCATTCTTCATCAAGGGCCAAAAGCGTGGCATGGGCCCCACACACGTACACATACTGGGCAGACCTTGTGGTGTGCACTCCATGAGTTTGTCATTGGGCTCATAGTTGTCTGGACAGACATGGTGGCACCTCCCGCTGAGCTGGTACAGGCCTGGCCGGCACCGCGAACATGTTTCACCGTTCACACACTACTCACACTCTGCGGGGCACCCTGCAAAGACAAAAGCACAGTTGTGTATCTTTGAATATATAGTGGCCAAATTTAACTCATAAACAGTTTTCATGTGTGCTTCATTCCAAAGTCAATGTGGGATAAATACAATGTAAATAGAGCTAAATGAAAGGTAAGCCCTATTTTTAATTTCTGTCCCTGAATACTGTGAACTCTAAACACTCACTGGGAACACACTCCCTCTGCGTGTCGCTGCGGACCAGCCCTTCAGGACAGTTCTCCTGGCATTTGCCCAGGTGAAGGTAGAATCCTGCTCGGCAGCGTGTGCAGAAGTTCTTGTTGAAGCAGGAGTCGCACTCCGACCTGCACTCTGACAGAAACACAGACCCACCGCCAGCGTTTATTTAAACTGTACAAGTTATCGTGTGTGTCCTGTGTGTTAAATATACAGGGTGTCAGTGTGTGTGTGCGTGCGTGTGTGTGTTTGTGTCCAACTGGGAATACGGTCAGGAATATAAGCCACTGCAGTCAGACTGATGTCTTACATGGTGGACATGGAGGATTTTAAGTAAAGCAACACTTGGTTCAATTTAGTGTCACCAAAAGGAAACACACTTAACAGGTATCAAGTTTTTCAGTTAAATGAACACATACTGTTCGTAAACATGATCCCATATTTCACAAGCAGGTCTTGAAGCTGTTGCTTGTAAAGAAGGAAGCACATATATTACACTGATACTTATGCCCATCCACTCGGAGGACAATTAATTACAGTGACGTCTAGCTACTGATACCACACCTACAGATGTTGGTTAAATTAGGAACATGCATTGTCAGTAATGATTTCATCAATATTCTGCTTCACAAATACTCATCGTGGCTTACTTGTGCAGGTGTTTCTTTCTGGGGAGCGTGTGCCATAAAAGCCCGGAGGACAGGAAGTCATGCACACCCCGATCTGCTTCATCCCAATCCTCTCCAAATGCATGAAGAAGCGTGGCTTGCAGGACAGGCAGCCATTGTAGTCAGAGCAGGTCAGACAGCCACCCTGCTGGCACCCTGAGCTCACACCAGAGATCTCTGTTGACAGGAGCAGGTGCATGTATAAGTATAAATTTGACATGGTGTAGGATTACTTTTGGGGCGTTTTAAACTACAAGAGTAGTTATCTTAATGGATATCTTGCTAAATAGAGCATCATTTTGGTGAGATTAAATGCTGGGCACTGTAAGGAGTAGTAATATCAGCCTCCCTCTTCAAAGTGTGTAGCAGGAATTCACCTTTCTGGTGTTGCCAATGACGGACACAATAACCTTCTGCTAGCGTCTCTGTAAGACTGTAATTTATTTAGACTAAAACATGTTTTTTTCAGCTAAGGACTCAAATGTAGTCCAGAGAGACCCATTTTAAGTCTTAGACAATAAGGTCCCTGACACACCAAGCCGACAGTCAGCTATTAGTTAGCATCTGTTGTCCTAGTTTTTGCGGTGTCCTGCACCATTGGCACTACTTGGCCCTTGTCCCCTGTTCAACACGATGAATCAGTGAGTGAACTCACTCTGATTGGCAGTTCAGCTCAGTGCACAAGAAAAGAAACAGAAGTGTGGTGAGCAAACAAATAACTGAAGTCAGGAGGGCAAGAGACTGAGACAAACTTCTTATATGAGCTACGTTTTTTTTGTGGGCACTGAGCTCTTTAGCAGAAACTGTTTATAATTTTTTGTGTCACTGTTCCCTTGCCCACAGTAAATATCCGCTGTTCTTTCAACATGTGGTTGTGCTGTTAATGTGCTATCTGGCTAACTAGCATCTTGAATCCATCCTAGCGGTTTTCCAGTATCCATTTTTGAATGATGAATACCGACTACTGCCGCCTGCTGGTATGGAGAGTTATTTCCTTTCACGCAGGCACATACCGTATATGCTAGGTGGATGTTGCTGTAGTCTTTGCAGTGCATTCAAGTGCAACCTTATGTCCAAGACACAGGGGACGTGAGGTGATGGAACAGTCTGTGTCTGTGTCTGTGTCTGGTGTGTCTGGTTCTTAAGACACCAGGTGATAAAATTCATTACCTTAACCCTGTCTTTTCATCCCATTCATACCAGCCTCTTAAACACATATTGCTGAATCCAGACTTTCAAACTTTTATTTTACAACCTAAAATAGCCCAGCGACAGAGAATAACACCCCATGTACCTGCAGCTGCTTGAAAACACTGGCTTTCAAAATAAGGTTCCTCCTTTTTTTTCAGTAGGGCATCTTAGTCCACAACCAGTTTTGATTGACACTGAACTGTAGAGGATCGTTACCATATGGTATGCATATTATTTGTGCAAAGTACAATGGAATATTTCAGTTTTTGTTAATGGTTTAATGATCGTTTTTGGTTATGGCACTCTGCATAAACCAGGATCAGGCTGGGTTTGTGGAAGTTATTTGGATTTATACACATCAAACAGTGCAGTTTCAGTGCAGATGTCAGGTTAGGGTGGACTGGGGCACCACTGTGCATGCTACATCCATGACTCTACAATGCCAAAATCTAGTAGTAGTCAGAGCTGTATGATATCAGTGTATGTTACATCTCACCTATCACTACTCCAGGTAGGTAGTTAAAAAAAAAGACTAAATACTTTATGAAACAAAGGGTACTTTATGTATCTATATACTGCACCAATCCTGCATGTTTCCGTGATACAAACTGTGTAGGATTTAGAGGGATGTATTGGCAGAAATAGAATATAATACGTATGTTTTCTTTAGTGTATAATCACCAAAAAAAAAAAAATTGTTGTTTTTTTCTTTTTACCTTAGCATTAACCCTTTATATATTATACTTAAGGAGGGTCCTCAGCCACAGAGTATGCCATGTTGCACCGCTGTGTTTCTACAATAGGCCAGAATGGACAAACCAAACACTGGTACTAGTTACTACTTTTTGCATCAGCCAGCATAGTCAGTAGCCCCTCCACAACGAGCCGAACAGTGTTGGTAAAAACCTGATTTTTAAACTGCCTTATTAAGTGTTTTAGCACTTTAATCACCTGTTCCATTTGTCTGAGAGAAGAAGAGACCTCTGCGGATAATTCAGCTCGTGGGAAAAATCTCCTGAACAATTAACACTGAAGGAATTGTAAAGTTCACACTTGGTACATGGGGGAAATTTCAGTTGATTGCAATCTGCAATTCTCACCGCTAGATGCCACTAAATCACATATACTTCTCCTTAAGTTTTTTTTTTTTAATTGAAATGTTTCAGTCAAGTATTTTGTCATGTTTTACAAGAATGAGGACAAAGTGAAAACAGGAAGTCAACTGTATCATGACTGGTTATTATTTCACATGCATAAGTTCATCAAACATGATTAATCGCCTACTGTTTTAGCACAGTGCCAACGGCAGCTATTTATACCTTGTTTACAGCCCTGTTTATGTACATAAGTACTGTAGTGTTTAGTTTATGTTGATATATATTACAGTAGGGTTTTCATCCCCCTCTCGTCACTAATTTGTGGGATGATTCACCAGACTTTGTCTGCCATGGATGAAAGCTCTGGTTGAGGGTTTTCATCATTTTAATTGTATGTTGACAATTTGTCACAGACGGTTTTAATGTCTCCCGAGTTACAGCGAGTGTATTTATCAAAAACTCCAACGATTATAAAAACTTATTGCTAAGAGCTAATTGTATTAAAGAAGACGAAATAAATTTGATGTGATGTCTTGCGGTCATGTTCCTGGAAAAACTTGTATATCATCCTTTTCAGTATCTGATTGCACTTAGTGGACAAAAATAGTTACAAAGAGGGTTTGGGTGGTTGGATGGGGATGTATATATATATATGATCTGAAAGAAAACCACCAGATAAACATGACAGGTTTCATGATGCTGGGGAGTTCAGAGAAGATGTTTTTAGCCTCTGGTCCTGATGTTTTAGTATAACCATTCTCATGAGGAAATGAGTTTAACTCACTCCTCTGTTAGAAATACAACTGTTAAATCCAGAAAGTGGTACATGGGCTTAAGAGAACAAGAAGGTCAACCCAGGGACAAGCACTTTACAGTCTACTTATATATAGGAGCAACACCTGTGACATAGAGTCAATATGTAGGCAATAGACATGAGAGAAGTTCCATATTTTACATACTTGTGCACCCATGCTGCATTGGTACTCCATTCTCAAAGGCATTGTTTGGAAAATGTTGCAGTAGTCACACATGGTAAGCAAATCAAAAGCAACCCCTGTAAGCTTCCAAGGAGTTGGTTTTCCTCTCCAGCCTTGGCATCTCATGCCCCTGCTTGAAGCTGGCCCCTCTTCCTTCTCCTCTAAGTTCGGGGGGTTTAGCTGCCAGTTTACCATAGATCATAGATACTTTGTTTGAAATATCTCGACAATCTTTACAACGGCTGTCCATTTGCCCACATGTGTTCCTGCCAAGCTGCCCTGATTCACAGAAGTCTTAAGACACAAGAATTTGGCCTTGCCCTCGCACTTGCACCGACAAAACCTCAGTTGGACTTGCATAACATACCAACAAAGTCACATATGAATAAACACATTCACATGCCTGCACACACACAAACAGATGGTTCGGGGAGAAAATAGAAATGCACAACAAAACAGAAGTAACATAAAAAAAAATCATTTTGCCTTAAGTTTTTTATTTGTACCTCTTTATAGGATTCCATCATGTGTCACACTTGATTTCCCCGACTTTGTAACAATATGTTTAGCTTTAAATCAAGACCTAAATCACCCCATCTTCATCTTGAGCTGATCTGATTATATAATATATATAATTTCCACTGTTAGCACCCAGGCACCCACATGCCTTTATTTTTGGATGCATCATCATGGACAGGAAGCTCAGAGCTTGGGTTCAGTCTCTGTGTGGTAATTTTGGCCAGTTGACTCATTGGTCATTGACTCCCAACTCACTCTTACCCCCTTCTGTCCCTCTGAAGTCTGTACTCATTCACCCCCTCACCAGCAAATCCCTCCATCCTCCTTGATATCTCTGGAAGCATTAGATATCTGCATCCTTGGAGGAAGTTTGGAATCTTAGAAGCACTTGTCAATTAATGGGTACATAGTCAGTCTGGAGAGGCAGAGGTTTACTCCTTACTGTAGAACGTGAATGAAACCTTCATCTTAGGTAGAAACGAATTAATGCGTGGGTGCTACTGTATGAGTATGCTGTATTATTAAATGTTTTATATTTTAAGTCCATTTTCACACAATTTTGGCATCTCTTTTTCATCAAAAACAAATTGAAACTATTTTCAAAAATTCATATTTCACAAAGAGAACATTATCAACACTGTTTTCAGACTCAGGGCATAATTCGAGAAAGCAGAGTGCTTTCAGTAGACCCTCCTGCTCCCCCTCTCTCACACTGTGCTGAGAGGCTCTTTAATACTGTTTAGGGGGAAATAAACATTTAAAAGGGAGAATGTGTGTGTCCCAACACAGCGTAGGGTAGAAACAGACACCGCGGCATCTATGTATACTACATTAGTGCAACACAAACACAAATTTAAGACAGAGTAATCAAACTATTAACTCAGTGGCACATGTTCATTGCATTTTATCATTAAAACTGGTATCTGATGTCATTATATATGAGTTTGCTGGAGTTTAAATCAGAGCTGTTTCACCCTGCCGAACAGCAAAAGTATCCACACTTTGTTCTTGAGGTTCGAACTAAACTACATTGAACAGAGCTGCCAAGAGCAAAGGTAACCCCAGGACCCCTTTAAAACTACACAGTAAACACACAGTTAACCCCAGATGCTGCTTTTGTTTTGTTTTTTTTAAATTTCCACTTTGGTGGTCATGAGGGAAGAAACAACAAAACAGTCCTCACAGTTACAGCTCTAAGCTCTGTGATTAAATGTAAAGAGATGCACAGAGAAGTCTCAGCCCCAGGTGGCAGGGATAAAAACATCACTTCTAGGGTCTATTATTGTAGATCACACACAGTTTTCAGCCACGCTGGCAAGTGATACACGGAATATTCCAGTTGTCACTGCGATTCTCTGACAGAATTAGTCACAGAGCACATCTGGAGACCCTCAGTGATAAAGTGTGCGTAGGAAGAATAGAACAATATACTTTATTGATACTTATTTCATGGTGTCATGGAAAAAGGCCGGCCATAGCTCTGGAGATTAGACATAATGTTGGACCTCGGGGGGGATATATGGGAGATGAAGTACCATCAGACCTGAGAGTGTTTCAGTATGGAACATCTCTGGTGTTTCCATGGTCCCTACTGGCAAATTTGCATTAACTCAGACTTTGAAGAGTAATAAGAACAAGATGGGACATGATTTCAAATCGTTATACTGCGTTTATTTTTCTGACTGGCATAAATGTGAATCCTACACTATGTGATCTTCCCTCAGGAATCCCAAAATGCGGCATTATAACATACGGAGGTTCCTTGACTAAATATGGGAGCTAAAGCTGTGAATACCCATGTGAGCAGTGCTCCGGCCTGGCATCCAGGCAGCACACTCCGTGTCTGAAGTCTGCTGCTCTGACCGCTAGAGAGCGACGGGAACCAGGAGACTGTGCGCAAAGAGGAACGGCTGCAGGCTTCAGGTGACAGGCAGAACAATTTATTCATCAAATAAAGATTAAAATGAAACACTGTAAAAGTGGACTAAAAATGGTGAAGCTACCAAAGTTATCATGGATGGACTACGCAGTCAATGAGTTCATAGACTGGAGCATGCGCTGGAATTTCACCAACCAATCGAAGAAAAAACAATTTTATGACAGCAATTTAATAAGCTGGATGCGCAATGCAGGAATTTCGAGTTGGGAGTGTGTAAATTAGTTTTAATATCCCAATTATCTTGAATTGTTTTATTAATCAGTAATAATCTGGGAAATCAGCACGATCACTCCTGCCAGCTGACGAAAATTAGTTTTGATCTTATAGTTTTTAGTTAGAAAAGAAAAAAGATCAAAGATCAGCTGCAATTTTTAAAAGTACATCTAGAAATACTCACATTTTGTCCAGTGTTCCCAGTTGTGCGCCTGTGTGGGATTGTTTAATGACCCACTGGTACAAATTAAGCAATTTACCACACTGAGCAAATAACACTGTGTCTACCATTAATTAGGATATTTAGAATAGACTGGATTTGCACTTTTGTTAAAGCCAATAAATGCTAAATTAAAAAAGAGAAACAAAAAAAGAATATACTTAGCGTGTACACAGAAACACTGAGCAGCATCGCACCGCACTTTAATCTACTCACGTTTATGTTGCCGGTGCCTGGAGCTGCTGTGCTGCTGACAACCAGTGTAATCCATGCAGTGCAAGATGATCCAAACAAAGGAGATCAGTTGTAATTGCATAGTAGCCCAGAGATGAGACTCGTAAAGCCAATGTCAATGTTCACCAAGTCACTTATTGGATAAGATTCCGTTTTCTTCCCCCCAGACGGAGGCAGAGTGTGGAGGGTAGGTAATTCCTAGACACAACAGGACCCCCAGCTATGTGGTGATATGTGGTGATGGTAGTGCACGGTGGCCCAATGATGCCTGGGCCGCTTAGACTGTAACATCCTGGATAGGATCTTCATATGTGCCAAGAAAGCCAGACTGAGTCAGGGATCCGTTATCCGTGCTGTGATAAAGAACATCTCTTCCAAAAAACGAAAAACAAACACGCCAAAAAGCTCGATTCTCATCCGGTGCGCGCAGGAGGAAAGCAAATTCAATCATTAGTGTAAGTCAGAAAGATGAATAGAACATTTTTTTTATGTTTAGCGTGACTCTCAGAAAGTTTGAGACATCATATCCATGTGCAGAACTCCAAATTGACCTTTCTCCTCCTCTCCACGTCTGTCTCAGTGGAGATGCGCCGTGCGTCCCGGTGTGAGTGGATACCCTAATGTGCCAGGCGCGCTAAGGGTCTCGGCTTCATCTCAGCATCAGCTAAAGCACAAAAGTAAAAAGCCACCACAGGACCGACACTAATTATAAAAGAAAAATCTGTAAGTTGAAGGTTTCGTAGCTCTTGTTGGCTGTAAAGCATGCACACCTCCTGTCGCTCGCTGTCGGCAGCAGGCAACTGTACCAAAGTAAATCTCCGCAGTTTCAGCGCTTTTCTGCTTTGCGTGCAGGACCCATTCACTCCCCTCCTGCCGGCCGGCTGATGACTTCAGCCCTCTGCTGTCTCTCTGTCTCTTTCTCTCCCCCTATGAGCTCCAAAGTTTATTTAGAGGGCAAGCCCCCCCGCGTCAGAGAGAGAGGGAGGGGAGGGAGAAAGAGGGCATACTTAAGTTATTTCAACGAGGGTTTAGAAATGTGGACTGTAGCTTCTCCTGTCTGTGATTCCAATGATGCTTTTACTGCGCATCTTTTAACATGAACTAAATGTGACTGAAATGAATGGACTCACCTGCCTCAAAACTCATCTTTATCTTCATCTTAATCCTCTAAAAATGACAACAGTGTTATTTTGGACGTTTTTTGAAAATGGATTTCGGTATAATCACAGAGCCTTTGAAATACTATTTTTAAATGTGGTTAAACACATTCTGGACACAGTCTCAGCAGCCAGATTACATCAGTGCTGAATGATAAAAGAGCTCCATTATGAGAGCAGATGTTAAATAAGATTTTGTGCCTTTAGATGTTTGACTTCTTTCCTTACAAATGTTAGTAATTGTTGTTCAAAGAGAGAGGTGACAGATCAGTTTTTAAAGTTGGTTCTTATTCTGACTGAGAATATTAATGATCCGTTTTGTCAATGTGAAATCACCACAAACCAATTTTACACCAGCCTCATTGAAATATGGATTGTTTTCACATTTGTAAATGTTTCTAGAAATACCTATATTTATTTTCAGTTATGACATATGAAACTGACCAGCAAAATGCATTGTTTCGTGCACCGGGTAGCTTATAGGATCCTGTAGATGACGATATAAGTACAAGTTGGTGTAATTACTTACCATCCTCATGCACTATTTTTCCCTTTTAATTTCACACATGTTTGCAATGGTTTGCTGTGGAGGGAGAAAATCCCAAATCAGCCAAGGAAGCAGCAGCATCTCATCTTATTACCTCTAGAGGGAGTTAGTTCCATAAAAGCTTGAGGCACATTGTCATAACAGACAAGCATGGGTATCAGTGAGTTGTGGTAAACTGTTGCACTTGACCTTTTTCCCTGCTGAGTCCAAATGTGATGTTGTTTGTATTGTTATAATGCTATAATGACATATCAAAAGAAAAACAGCCACAAAAATGTGAAATATGTATCTTAAAATGAACGGTGGATTTAGGACTTGCATTTAAAGTATTTCAGAGCAAATAATGATACCTTGTCCCTCATCAATCATTGTTCCAGATCAATTGTCACCAGTGCCTCAGTCAGCAGGTTTAAGGGTTCTGGTGATAACTGGTCGCAAATGAAAAGACTTTGCTGGTTTTAGTCAATTGCGGCCTCTGGAGATTGGAGCAGAGCAGTGTAAAGGGGGAGCTGAGGCCTCATTTGTCTAACTGGTGTGTTGATGTTTAGGGGGAACAGTATGCACGAGTCCAGTGCTTCTCCTCGCTGTGGCTTCTGGTCTTTCATCAGTCACTGTGCTGAGGAAAGCAATGCAAACACAGTGTGGGCTCTTTCTTTATGGGAATACTTCCTTGTTTGCCCTGTGCTAACTCAGAACCAGGACAGTGAGACATAACACAGATTGATACATTATTTTAAACCCTTTCACCTCCACTGGGGCAGACTGTTGGATCCCAGATTTACCCAGGGCATTAAAGTCAGGCATGGGACTATGTCAATGTAAAATGCCATGTCATTTTTAATAGATTTATATTTCAACAAAAGTGACTGTGATGTATTAGACAATGACACTTAATATCGTGTAATTTAATGCATGTGCAATGAACTTGTTTTGCAAATAACAGGAAACATTGTAAAACATTATGATGAAATGTTATGAAAAATTATGAACTCTCCCTCCTCCCTCCTCCCTCTCCTCCCTCTCCTCCGTCCTGGCAGTTTGGTGTAAGGGATGTTGAAGTATAATGCTCCTCTTTGTGTCCCTGTCTGAACTAGCCCCGCCATCCCCTGGGGGTAGGAGCATGTGTGTGTTTTTGTGTGTGTGTGTTGCATTGGGGTGCGCAAGGTTAAGGTCACTTGGTCAGTCCTTGTGACCGTCCAGTGAGAGAATCCGTCGACACCTGTAAATGAAGTCGGGCAGGTGCATAAACCCTCCTGACCAAGGATGGATGCACACTACAACTTTCTTTTTTAATAATCCCACATTTACTCCTATTTTAGCCTTACTCTAATTTAGGCCTTGAACTGAGGGGGGCATAAGAGTGTATGGCATCATCCTTGCTGACATAAACTTTGGCACAAATTAGAGTTAACACTTTGAAGTTCCTCATGGAAAATTTAAAGCTGTATTAACAGATTTTTTTTTTTTTTTTTTGGCCACTCGGCCAAGCCACCAAACTGTAAAGACAACACTGCCATATAAGCGCCATATAAACTTTTTAAGGTATGTAATGTAACACGAAAATTCGCTTTGGGTTCAGTGTGAACTCACCATTACACATTCATCAGACAACATAGAATGAATCCGCTTTTTACATCTGAAACATAATCTGATCCTGTTTGATTCGGCGGTTGGAACCTATTGCGACCGCATGCCTTTGCTGACGTCGACCCCAGCAGGATTGGAACTAATTTGAAATATTGTTTCTGGCCATCAGACATATTTAAGTTAATATTTTTTTTAACTCTGTTTTGTTGTCCACCAACTCCTGAAGAGGTACATCCAACTCTCAAGCTATTAAATGCTCAACAATGTTCACTAACTTGTTGCTAATTTCACCTGTCTCTCCTTTGGTGCTGCTAGGTGTGTGCAGTTGGTAGTAAAATGTTTGTGCAAGTTTTATACAAGCGGGTCCCTGTTTTGTTCAACATGTTTGTTAGACCTCAAGAATACACACAAGGCATCTTGGTGAATAATAATGAATGAAAACATAACTTGGTTTGTGTACAAGGAACCTCCTACAAGGAAATATCAGGGCTTGAGAGAGTTCAAAGTATACCAGAAGCTAATTCCACTTATCATTCCCCAGTTTAAGCTACAATCATAGGCTTTAATCACAGGCTCATATCATTCAGCTAAGCAGATGTCCACTTTGTTATATTCATATGACATTGCACAAATCCATTTACCTCGACCTTATCAAGAAAATCATGCTCTTAATCCTCAGACACATCAGAGTAGCAAACATACCACTACACTGCAAAGCTTATGTCCAAACTGTTCATTCCCCAGGCTATGACTCATAAAATTCCCAGATGACAGTGACAATGTTGATCCACTGTCCTGTCATCAGCTAATGAATTAGGCCGGGCTCAGTGTGGACAGCAATTGATAGCGCGTGCTTCGCTGGGGTCTGTGAAAACATAGTGGCTCAGCCAGTGGCCTTATATGCAGGTTTTTCCTGACGTTGCATCTATTAAAGCTGCAAATAGCCCAGTGGCGATCCAGTGCATTCTCTCAGCATGAAGCAAGTAGAGAGAGGCAGTGACACGGGGCATCAGAGGCTGTACAAAGTTATGAAAATAGACATGCACACACATACATAAATACAGGATCTAGAAGTTCTAATAAATAAGTATTGATTCTTGAAATTCTATTAAACACAGCACAAGGGAGGATTAGATTAATATAAACAAGATAAGACAGGTGCATGTGTTGTGGTGCGGCAGGTGGGGTGAACTCATCTTAAATGTGTGTGTATGTTTGTGTGGCAGCATTTCTGTGTGTATGCTGGGGTGATTGAGGGGATCATTTCATAGTAAGAGGGATTGAGAAGGTAGTCAAGGACAGATAATCACTGTGAGCAAGAGCTGTCAGCTGTACACACAGAGGGAAAGCAGGTCAGAGTTTTGTATAGAGAAGGTCAAAAGAGAAGGGTACTGTGTGTGAGCGTGTGTATGTGTGTGTGTGCGGTGAAGGGGGGCAGTTACCACAGATTCCCCCATATTGACCCGTATTCGCCTCACCCTAAACAGGGTTGTCCAAACTAGATAACGTTAAAATACCTGGGGGCCAGCTGCTTCTCGCATTATATGGATTATTAAAAAAAAAAAAAGCAACTGTTTCATCTGAAAGTGGTGACCCTCTCTGTCAACTTTACACTTCTTTGTTTTGGCCAAGGACCATGATTGGCCCCCGGCTGGACTTTGGACATGCCTGGTCTAAAAGAAGTGGACGTAGTCACCAGGGCTGAAAGTGTAGCCACTACTGAAGTGACATAAACCCGCATTCTTTCTAATAGCCAGCAGGGGGTGACTCCACTGGTTGCAAATAGTCTTCTTAGAAAACTATAAGAAAATGACCCTACTTTTCTTTATAATCTCAGTAAACATTTTCCTAATGAGATTGTGTTGTCTTTGGTTTGAAGTGTTTTTCAATACAGCATGAAGTTCATTTTGTAAATTATGCTCTCATGTAGAGTGCAAAAGAGATAAAGCAGGGAATGCTTCAGGGCGTGGCTACCTTGTAATTGACAAGTCCCTCACACTGTGGTGTCCTGGCACTCTCAGTCAGATCCACCCCTCCATCCCCCACAGCTCCACGCTCTGTCCAAATATGGTCACTTACAGCTCCAAAAAACCAAGATAGCAATGGACAAAATGCCAAACTCAATGCTTCAGAATGGAAGTCCACAAACCAATGGGTACGTCACAGTGGTTACATCCACTTCTTTGATACGATTTATGGTCTCTCCAAGGTAGCAAGTCTGTCCATCAGCACCTCTAAAGTGGGATTTATACCTCTGCGTCGCCTTAACCTATGTGGTGGCCTATTGTGCGGTATGTGGTAAACATGTTTAGTATGAGACAGTTGTTTTATCAGTGAACCTTATGAGTTGTAGTAGAACCAAATTTCATAATGTTTCCTTTGTTAAATATTGCTGTTATATGAGTAGATGAAAAGTCTGCAAGCCGCTAGGCTAATTTATACAATGTAAAATGCCAAAGGCTTATGCTAAAAACATTAGCATGTTGTATTTGTGGGGAAAATGTGTCCAGCAAAACACAAGCGCTTTGTCTGTGAATACTGCGAGTTATAGTGAAGCCGATTTGTGTACTTGTGTTTGAAATTGTCACTTTTTTAGCCATGTTTAAT